GTGCTTAAATATTTTTAGTCCTTCTTGTCGGAAAGTGAATCATTTGGAATGACAGATTGCATTTCAAGGGGGAGCAAGGCTCTCACCAGAACATCATGCCTTTTCCACTGTTGTTTGTGCCTGTGACTATCAGGAACCCTCTTAGCGATTTTGCAGGAAGCTGACCCGAGATGTCTGTTGGCACACCACACGTCTGACAGATCAATTAAGTCTGGTGCTCCCATCCGTAGAACTGTGACTGAATCCACCAAACTGGCTGGTAAATTCCCGAAGTTTCCCAGCCCATTTGTTATTTGTGCTTTTCCCATAGAGGCTCTTATGGTGGAAGTCATTCTTTGCACTTCTTAGTCTTCAGGCCCTGAGGGCTTTTGCTGGGAGGTTCCTGTGGCCTCCTTACTGCAAGGGTGACAGGTGAAGGGGTGACAGCATTGTGGCAGGGTCAGACACCTCCATTCCCTGCCCTCTGCAGCCAGGAGACACTCTGAAGGGTAGAGAGGAGTGAGCAGGGCAGGAGAGGCAGCCATGACATCCCTAGAAAGAGGCGGCTTTTGGTATCAGTTCATCATAGGTTCTAGACTGTCACTTGGCTCATAGATTTTCTAGAATGAATGAGAAAAAGGTTGAATGGATGATTAAGAATATGAACTGAAAAGTTTTGAAGACAAATAATTAGAGGCCAAATAGTGCAGTGGGAAAAACCTAACCAACCATGGTCCTGGGGGTTGGGCGAGTGGGCTTGGATAACCCCACCATTTGATAAAACTGGATAATTTAGTTTCCTCATCTGTAAAACAAGGGGTTTGGTGCAAATAGTCTCAAAGGTTCCATTTCTGTTCCTACAATTGTCTCAGTGAATGGCTGCCATGCCTACCCCCAGCACAGGACCATTGTCTTTGCTAGATGCCTGATTCTGAGCTCTCTGGATTGGTTCGTCCTTGAGAGAGAACACTGGGGCCATCAAAAAGAGATTGCTTGGTGACAGTTTGAGCACACCGAGGGTATACACTCAGTGTGTTGGGAGAAGATGGAATGTTCCAGAACATTCTCTAGGCTTGTGAGAATTTCATGGTAGGTGGATGGGGGAGGGGATATACATAAGCCTGGAGCATTTTCTTCTTGGTGTGAGCTATAGGCAAGCTGACAGAAATGTGGAAACCGAGGCCAGCTCAGTAAAGTTGATTTTTTCCCCAACCCACTCCTGTCTAGCATTGCCCAACTCTCTCCAAACAGCCAAATGCCTGTTTATGTGGAGATGAAGGAAAGCTCTCTGTTGACTTTTATTTCCAAACTCTGCCTTTTGGAATTGACACAGAAGAGGACACACTGCTCACCAGGCCTGACCATCCGGTCAGCAGACTCCAAGCCCTGGCCCCTGCTCTGGCTTGGCCTCCTCAAACAGAGGCTATTGAAACAGAGATCGATAAGCAGATAAAAAGCAGAGCAACATGGGCTTTGAGCCCAAGGCTAACTGCAAACTGATCAACTTCTCCCTGTGGCTTCCAATCCCAGGGGTGAAAGACCAAAGTTTCACTCCTTCCCCTGAGAGAGCTGCCCTGAGGGAGGGGCCTGGTTCCTGTGGGTAGGGGCACACAGCGCCAGGTCTGCATCTTCAGGGAACACAGCAGGGACCACAGAGGAACCAAGGCCCCAGGTTTGTTGTGGCTGCGAGTAGAGGGAGGCTCTTGTTTGGGATGAAGGCCTAAATCAATCAATCTGAATGCAAAGGCAGCATTCAGATTCAGAGCACAAAGTCTGGAACCAGACCATCTAATCTCTCACGTGTTCTGCGACCTTGCAGGAATTTTTTTTAATCATCTCTGTATGTTGATTTCCCCTTCTGAAAAACTGGGAATAATCCACCTTCCCATTAAGGCTGTTAGGAGGATTAAACATGCTCATATTTCTAAAACAACTTAGAACAATAATACGTGGCATTTAAGATGTATCAAATAAATCAGTGTTTCTCAAATTTCAGGGTGGATAACAATGTCCTAGAGAACTTGGTTAAGTGCAGTTTGCAGGGTTCCATTTCCCAGAGGCTTACAGTGAGGACCCAGGGGCTCTGTGATTCTGACGCAGGTGGTCAGCACCACCTGTTCAGATGTTCCTGAGTCTTCTCCACCCTACCCCGAGCAGGACCTTGCTTCTCTCCTGATCGTCATGCGTGTCCTGTGGGCTGCTCAAATCCTTACAGATTGTTCTCTGCCCGGCTCATGAACCTAGAAAAGTCTTCTGCTTTTTGGCCACTTGATCTTTCAAGTTTCAGCTCCATGAAACCCTCTTTACCTGGACCTAGACCTCTGGCTGTAGGCACAGACCTTACCTGCAAGTCCAAAGTTTGTTTTCTGTAAATATGAAGCAATCTGATTTGGGGCAGGAACCTCATTTGATGGCAAAATCTTGGCCTGAACTGACATGAGGCTATTTATAGTCTTTATCCACTTGGTGTGAGCAGTCACGTCTACTATGGACATATTAATGGGTTTGCTGACAGGGTGCTGCCCAGACACTGCTAGAGGTGTTAAATTATGTATTGTATATACAATGTATTTCCTAAAATGCCAAAAAAAAAAAAAAAAAAAAAGCCTGCTTTTTCTAAGCCTAAGTTTTTTGTATTGTGTATCTGTGGCACATTTGACTTAAATTAGCGGCTTTTTTCTCTAGGTTGACATGAAATGAAAATCCTAAGAGTGAAGACCCTGGATTGAGCACAATCCTTGGTGTAAATAATGATCTATTATTTTTCTTGAATGAATGAATGTTTTCTTACAGAAGAAACTGCACCTGTCTTTCCCACTGTCCCATTCCTCATCCCCTGACGACATTCATGTAGGATTTGTGAAATTAATTTCACATGGCTCTTTGGATTCCCCTCCTTGGAACCAGGCCTGAAAATTGGGTAGGCTGTCCCCAAGTTGGGGTGAAAGGAAGATGATGCCCTTGGAACTAAGCAAAGTGGCATAATTAGTTGGTTAATTCAAGGTCAAATCTCACATTGGTCCCAATTGCTTATGACCAGGCACAGAGGTTGCAAACTCAAACACTTACATGGGCCAGGTAGAGAATGAGTGACACGGGCCAGGTGTGATAATAGGAGGAGGAGAGGAGTGTGGTAGGTAATCTGGACGTTTATGCCCCGTCTACAGAGGCAGCCCCTTGTTGAGTAATAGCTGGTTGATGCCAAGAGAAATTGGAAAACTTAATTTTTAGGTAGAAATTTCCTATTTGAAAAACTCCTGGGAAGGCCAAATAAAGTTCATAGGCAGAAAAGTTGAGACCCAACAGTCATCTTGTTACTTTTCCCGCCACACATCTTGGGTGTGCTCCCCCCTTTGGGGGGCGTGCAGCTGTGAGTTTCTGAAATTCTCCCACGATTCTGGGCCATGGGGAAGCCAAGTGGAGGCTGTTATTGTCATCCACAGCTTCTCACCCCTGCACTAAGGAGCAGGGCCGGCTCACTTCCTCTGGGGCCACCTCCTTTCCCAAACACAAAGTCCCCTAATCATGTCCTCACTCAGAACCTAAAGAAGATGGCTAGCCACAGAAATCACTCACTTAGACAGCCAAGTGTGGGTCAGATGCCCGAAGGCTTCTGGGGAAACTGACATCTCTCAAGAAGTACAATTACTGTTGAGGCTTGAAAATTGGGTCTGTAAATACGAGAGGCAAAGCAAAGCAGGCTATTCATTCGTCTGCTGTTTTTCACGAAACAAAGTGAGTCAACAGGTATTTAAACACTCAGGCCACTGTGGCGTGACTCTCTCAGAAGATCATTTTCTGTGGTTTCAGTGTCTTCTGCTAACTGTCACCTTTTGTCCTCTCTGGTTCTCTGGCCAGAGACCCCAGATGACTTTCATACAGTCAACTGGGCCCCTCTGCAGGGTCACGAGGTGGACAAACCTTGTCAGCCCGGCCAAGGTCTGAGTGTTTACTCAGGATCTAATAGAGGCAGGAAACAGTGACAATCCTTGAAACCAAATCCACAGACCCAAACCAAATCCTCCAAGTTCCCTATAACCCAGCTGCCCCCCCACACCTGACACCATCCGGCTCACTGTGACCCAGTTTTATCGAGCATCCCAGGTGCAGAGAGCACTGATTTCCCCCATGTGCTCAGGTTGCTTACAGTGATGTGCAGGAAGGAGACGATCACACAACCACAGCAAGAGGCACAAGGGACAGAACACTGTAAGTTCAGGGGAGGGATGGAACCCCACTTGGTGGGCATTGGGAAGGACTTCCAGATGAGGGGACATTTGAGATGGGCCCTGAAGGTTGGTGAGTGTTGGATTTGTGGGAAGGTCACCCCTAGTAGACCGCAGTGTGAGTGGAGGGAAGAGGTAGGAGGGCAGGGGCTGCACATGGAGGGGTAGGTTCCATTTAAGTGAGTACAGAGCATAGAGGGAAGCGAGCCTGACCTTGAATGCCTGGCTGAGGAGTTTAGATTTGAGATTAGTTTTCCTGGGTCGATAGAGGCAAGCCTGTGAAGGATTTCTGCGGGGGAATGTAGATATTGCAGCTGGCTGTCCTTATAGCTATGTGCAAACTGGACTGAGGCTTGGGAGGGAGAAAGCAGGATGTAGAGTCAGGAGGTTATTACTTGCACTTGGGCAGAAGTTACTGAGGCAAGTAAGAGGGAGGAGGGTGGAAGTGGAGATGAGAATACAGATGCCTGAGCTGGGATGGGTGTCCCTGATGTCCTTGCTTCCTTCTCCCGTGGGCCCATTCTGGTCAGCCATTTGCCCCCAAATTTCACCCAAACTTCTCCTATTGAGGTCACCAATGACATGTGCACTGATAACGCCAGTGGCCACTTCTCAGTCCTCGCCTTGCTGATCTACCAGCAGGGCTTGCCACATGGGGTCTCTCCTCCAGCCCAGGGACACTGTTCTCCCCTGATTTTCTGTCTGCCTCTCTGGCCATGCGTCCTTGCCTGGATCCAGTTCAGGGTCCTGTCTTTGGATGCCCCCTTTTCAGTTTCATATCTCTAAATACCACCTTCATGTCAATGACACATTATCCCCAGCCTGGGCCTCTCCTTTAACTCCTATGTCCACTTTCCATTTGACCTCTTCACTGGGAGTCTAACAGATGACCCACGTTAGCACGGTCACAAAGGGGCTTTGCATCCTGAGGACCTTTGGGTTTGCTGTTCCTTGGACCAAATGCTCTTTGCCAGACAGCCTCAGGGCTGGCTCACTCCCTCACCTCCTGGAGCGCTTTACCCTGCTTTGCCTTATCTGAAATCACACTCTCTCATGCCACCCGAATCCTTTCTCTGCTTTATTTTTATTTATTTATTTATTTTTGGAGACAGAGTCTCCTTTTGTCACCCTCAGTAGAGTACCGTGGTGTCACAGCTCACAGCAACCTCAAACTCTTGGGCTTAACCTCAAACTCTCTTGCCTCAGCCTCCCAAGTAGCTGGAATATAGGCACCTGCCACAATACTCGGCTGTTTTTTAGAGTTGGGGTCTTGCTCTTGCTCAGGCTGGTCTCAAACCCATGAGCTCAGGCAATCCACCTGCCTTGGCCTCCCAGAATGCTGGGATTATAGACTTGAGCCACTGCACGTGGCCTCTCTGCTTTATTTTTCTCCCTGGCATCATCAACACTTACCATACCTTGTACTTATTTATATGTTTATAAAGTGTTTGCCTCCACTGAAATATCTATCCGATGGTAGAATGGATCCTTGTTTTACTTTCATTGCTGTATTTCTATCCCCTCACAGGGGCACAGAACATGGCACTCAACGCGTACGTGTGGGATGAGTGAATGCATGAATAGAACGCTGTGTCCTTCTGCTTGTGGAGCAACTCTGCGTAGAAGGTGAGTGACGAAGCTCCAATACAGAGGCCTGGAAGACACAAGTGTACAGTTCTCAGAGATTTGAAAATACGGAAGAGGAGAGGTATGAACGGACCACAAGTTCAGATCGGGACATTTTGAGTTTGAGTCATTTGAGACATGTCCTATGATGATGACCATCAGGATTTTGGAAAGAGGGTCTAGAGAGAGATCAGGGCTAGCAGTACATTTGGTCATTGTCCACATGGAAGTAATGACTTTGAACCATGAAGAGCAATGAAGGAGGAGGAAAAGGGAGAGAGAGGGAGAGAGAGAGAGAGAGAGAAACTGCGTGTGTGTCAGCTCACTAAGAACCAATTATTGGGGAACTTCTAGATCAGGTGTCCTTA